GCCATCTCAAAAAATTTCTACTTCACTTAAAATTATTTTATTCTAAAAATAACCTCATGCTGATTGCAACAAATTTACCATAGTAATAAAATGACATTTTTATTATACTCCGATATTTAAGCTACTTTGAATGATCCCTCCACGTTGTTTGCTTACGTTTTGGTACTTGAGCCACATCTGCATCATGATTTTAAAAATTTATTTAAATCCATATCATCTAAGAGCATTCCTTTGTCTCCCTGGGCGGAAATAACCCTCCCCCCTTGGAAAGCCCTCGGCACATCCTCAGCACTTCGTCCGAGCCACACTCGGCACACGTCGTCTATGACACCTAACACCTGACACCCGGCCCAGTTAGTATTTAGTAAATAAAACACAGAAAATAAGGTCACATATGCGAGTGTGCTTAAGAGTCTATAAAACAGCATGAAATGTAAGTTACTATTATAAAGGCATTACGTTTTAGAGTAAAAATACTGCTAAGACTACATTTAATGTGTCACAGTGAAGTTTGCTATAAGATGCTATCACCACTTAAAAGCTTTAACGCAGCCTCTCCCTTAAACAATCATTAATCACCAATAATTTAGAAAAAAACACTGTACACACTACACCCTCATAAACGGAGGGAGACAGATGTAAAAAATAGGAACCCAGCCCGAGATACACTATCAGTCGGCTTGCCTCAGTATCAGCAGAAGGAAAAGACTTTTAAAAATTAATTAAAATTCTAGTTAACGAAAGTTAAAGGCCCAAGAGAATACTAGTATGCACTTTATAGTAATCCATGGTTAACATTAAAGGAACCCATAAAATTTTTAATTTTTGCATTGAGTCAATTCATATTTCAATGGAAATGAAAGGTATTGATCTCCTTGTAGCGACAGTCGAGGTTCCCTGGGAGCTCAAGTCCTACCGCACAGTCAAGTGCAAGCTGACACCGCTATTAGCGTGGCAGCTGGGACCTGACACGGCACGCTTCACCAAGTCTGCCTTACCCAGCGACGCTGGGACACAGAAAGGATTTTTATTATTTCCTGGAAATACAGATTTGCATTTTTGTTTTTCATCTCCTAACTAGTTTTGACTATCAATAATATTCTCATTCACCAAAAGAGGAAAATAAATGTGGAATATCAAGGCCTATGTAAGAATGCAAATACGATTAAATGTAACAAAAGAACACAAAATGACAAGAATAATACATGTCACTTTGGGACCCAATAATTGAAGAGTTGTAGAGATGTCATGTACAAAAGCAAAAAGTGATTTACTCATTTTTCTTAAAACATTGTTTGAGCCAACTAACTTCCAAAAATTAATATTAATTTGCCCAACTAGTTCCAAATTGCCAAATCAATAATGCAACGCATACTCAGAACAAGTCGACTCATCTATATGGTCTCAGTTCTACTTCCACTTTAAGAGAAGAAACCACGAGGCTGAGAAATGACAGCACTTTCTGGACTGTCTGATGCCAGAGTAACAGGAGTTAGTTATGGGCATCCCTATTACAACAAAAAAAGATGACTTAGGGACGTATATGCAACATTCAGATTTCATAGCTGAGGCCTCATTTTGTGTCCATGGTCGAGTAGTTTTATAGAGTCTCGATCCATCTTCCACTAATATCATCAATCTAGGAATTAATAAAACTAGTAAAATCAAAGAACACCAAAACAACTTAACTGCACTATACCTGAAGGTTTACAGAAACAGAAAACGGAACCCCTAACTTGCGCAGTGGAGTAGAGGTAAGATACACTCGGCATAGCATAGAGTACATCATGTCAAGATTCTATCCTGTCATATTTTACAAAAACAATGACTTCTGGCATATCAGACTCTATGTAATAAGAACTGGTTTCTAATGGTCAAAAACACACTGAAAGATGAACGCCGAGTCGTCACTACCGCGAAAAGCTGTCTACCACAGGGAGGCTTGAAAATGTGATCTCAAAGCCACGAACCACCTTTGAAGACATCTGCCATCAGGACCGTCAGTCACCACTTCTGAACTCGACCCTAGCCCCGCATGGACATCCAGAACCTGACGACACCTTAGTGATAACCACAACAAAACAGACGAACTCGCAGCACGGCAGGCGAATCAGCACTTGCTGAGTACTAACCTAATTGGGATCAAAATGATATAGTTCCTACTTCTCATGGTAAAAATACGAGGCAAAATTCTATTACCACTACCAGTTACTAAGCATGCTTTTCATTCCTAACAAAACTTTTTAGAAGACAGAAATTACATATAAAAATCAGACGTATCTACATTACTTCTAATTTTTAAAACAAGCCAAATTCTGTGTGTACTTATCTGATCAGTATTGTGTAAGGAACGCCCTCTGTGCATGCACGTGTCAATGCAAAAGGAGAGAAATTCTACTGACTCCTGAGTCTCCCAAAACCGGTGTGGGTGACGAACAGCTGGGCGGAAATGCAAGCGAGACTGTCCGCTGGAAACCCAGTAAGACCCAGGCACAGAGAGCACCCGGTGACAGTGTCACTGGATGTGCAAATCTGTGCAGGCACGCAGCCATATTTCTGGCCATTCCCCTATGGTCTCAGATGACAATCACCGACAGCGGCCTTTCTTTTTCAGATGTAAGGTTACATTTAAAGACTATTACTTGAGTTGAAGGGCCTGCCTGGTCTTTAAAACGAATAGGAGTAAAGCTTGGATTTACAAAGGCACGGTATCTCAAACAAAACAAAGAAAAATTTGTACAAAAAAATTATATGTTCCACAAAAACTTCTATATGCAGCCAAAAACCCAAACGAAACAAAAACCAGTACCTTAGAAAAAGTAAGCATGCCAATTTGCATTTCCTTCTACATTTCCCTTTAAATATGCTATTTAAAAACGTTTTTGTCGTGTTTTAGTATCATTATATACTGAGAAGGCAGCGTTTTTCAAGAACTCGTCTTTCAGAGCATATGCTCTGAATACAGTACTTACAGATGACTCCGCGCCCAGTGTTTGCTTGTCCTTCTCCATAAACGAGGCACCCGCCCCTTCCCCAACCATTTAAGAGGCACACTGGATGCTGGTCCCCCACCCTGGTCACGCCTTGTCCTCAGTGCCGCGGAATGTTACCTACATCACAAGTGAAAGCGTGGCGGTTTTCCTGAGAGTTTAGATTCCATGCGAGTGCAGGTCAGCCTAAGGGACACATGCGAAGGACGCTGCCGCACCCTTATGCGGGTGACCTCATTCGCTCCTCACAGCGACCCACTGAGAGCAGCAGCTCAGCCACTGACTGCAGGTCACGCAGGGTCACCAAGCTACTGCTGGGTTAACTCGTCCCCTCCTCCAGAGCTCGTTTCACCCCATCTCATAGGTGAGAACCCGAGGCTCGGGCCAGCACGCCCCAGGAGGGCGGAGACTTGGACCCGGTGCAGCTGGCCGCCTCTCCGCTCAGCAGGTTCGCACGCAGCGGGGAGCACACGGGGAGAACAGGAGGCGTGTCTGGTCCTCGCCCTAAATGCGCTGGGACCAGGGGAATCAGCGGCAGAGGGCGGAGGCAGCTCTGGGGGAGCCTAGGGGCGGGCAGACCCCCGGAGACACCGCCCTCCTGCAGGTGGACGGACAGGCCGGGACCCCGCTGAGCTGACTGCGAATGTGAACCTCAGCAAGGCTGGTTTTCGGAGGAAATATAAAGCCACCGAGCCCTGGGCCACGGGTTGTGACACTCGAGAGAAGTGGTGGCCCCACGATGCCCAGCCCGCAGGAGGAAGCCACACAGGCAGGAGAGGACTGGGTGCCACATCTTTTTTTTTTTTAAACTAAAATGTCATTTACAGTGTAGCAACTCACTTTCCCTGTTAAAAACCTCCCTGCGGAGGAGAGGCAGGGAAGGGGACACAGCCGAGCTCCAAGCCTCTCACTGGCCCTGCTGGTTGCGTGGCGCACAGACCTCCCTGGGCCTCGCGCTGGGCGTCTGGGGAAGGAATCACAGCGAAAACCCCCTCGAGAGAACACACTGAAATGCCGACTTAAAGCTAAAGTACGCGATGAAAGCAGAATCTGCAGCAAGTAGAGAAAAAAATCGTGGCAGAAACCAAAGAGCAATACCAGGAGACCTGGCAGCAGCACTTTCTAGAAGTCAAATTAAACGAGGAACACTCGCCCTAATGGAATTTCTTTTCTCATTACTTAAAATAAACCAGGTCACTGAAATGGGCTTACGCTCTGGCATTTGGTTCATTTTAATTTCACTTCTCTTTCGTTAAACCATAAATTCCCCTGGAAATGCCTCAGACCGGCGCTCGCCATTCCTGGGGCGCCTGACGGTCCAGGGGAAGTGCTCCAGCAGGAGCCCAAAGCGGCGACAGGCGGCCCTCCATGCTCCACGCTTAGGTCAACAGCTGCTCTACGAGCACGAATTACCTCCGTGGCTAGGAAGCCTGTGCGGACTACATGCGGAGTCTGGGAGAAGCCTCAACGCCAAAGAGAAAGACAGTGAACAGCTCAGAAACATCCAAAGGGAGCTGGACTTCCTTGAGTGCGGCCATCACGCTTCCTCCCAGAGCCATTAGTGTTAAATACACCTTGATGATTTAAGTTAAGTGTGACTACTATTTAAATGAACGATTCAACTGAGCTCTGACCTATTTTTCCTCCCAAAAGCAAAAGGGAATAATGATAGTTTTGAGAATTACATTTTTTGGTTCCAGCATTTCTCTGGAAGTTATTTCACAATAGAGCTAAAGGCAAAATGCCTTTATTTGCTCAGTGACATTTATTTGCCTTAAAATGTAGTTATTTATGCTACTGCTCATAGGACAGAATTTTTATGACAATTTATTAAATTATATTTGTTTATTTTTAAACCATACAGACCAACGGGCATTCAGGAAGGAACTAAACTCAGTATGTAATATCATAGCTAAGTCTATGATACAGCTATAACTACACGATATGAGAGGACCAACAATCAGCATGAGAAACACAAATTAACATGTACGTGTAGCTGAAACTACCTACCCCTGGCAGAGAGTTTCTTGGTGTTGATGATTTTTGCAGCATATTCTTGTCCAGTAGGGATTTTCATGCATCTTCTCACCACTGAGAAAGCCCCCCTGGAAACCACAAATCACCAGGTCATCAATATAATCAGCTCTGATAGTCTATTTAAAAATTACAACAATCTGAGCATTTTTATGGAATGCAGTGAATTTTCAAATATCAGTACACTATGGTGATCTACAGAAAATGAACAATTCCTGGAGACCTAGAGCTTAATGCTGAGGAATCAAAGTAAATTTTATTTAACTGGCAGCACACATTATTAATCAACAAAATGAAAGGAACCACCAATTATGAGGACCTTGTTTGCACATGAAATCAGAAAACCTTTCATAATTCACACTCACACAGCACAAAACGCTGAGACGAAAACCCTGCAGAGAGCAGAGCTGAGGAAGAGCAGCACAGACCCGCTGCAGATTTATTTTGATAGAGTAACAAATTAATCTGGCTCCAAGTAAGTAAATATGGCGATTGTTTTCATTAAAATATAAATCTTGGAAACATTTGTGTGATTTCTCTGCTGTTTTTGGCTGGGGGAGGGGAGAGGTTTGAATTAAGCTGCTCTTCAGACAAATCCTCCATGTTTTAACAGCTAACAGTATATAAACATGTAACGATAGAATGTTCACTCCATTTCAAACATAGTTCCATTTCCTTTCATTTAGCTGCATAAAACAGCACCATACACTTAACTGCACCCTTTCAGCAGTAACAGTGGAAGCAGCAGCAGAGGACTGGGTTTGGGTCAGATGCTGCATAAATCGTAAATCAGCATCCCGGTCGCCCCTGGGTCCCCGTGCACGGGCATCACCAGGTCCCCTGTCCCCCGCTACACACCTCCAGCTCCTGAGTCCCGGTGCAGGGCCCTCAGCAGGTCTCTGTCCACGCCCTGCACACCTCCAGCCCCTGGGGTCCCCGGCACAGGCCTCAGCAGGTCCCTGTGTCTTCCCGCACACCTAAAGCCCGTGGGTCCCCGTGCATGGGCCTCAGCAGGTCCCTGTCCCTCCCTGCACATCTCCAGCGGTCCTGCAGGTCCACGCACCGCTAGGCCACCCTGGAGGCTCCCCGGTGTCCAAAGAGCTCTCCCACAGCGCGTGAGCCCTGGGAAGGGATGGCGAGCGAGTCACTGGGGCCAAGGGTGACTGTGGAGCCGGGCAGGGTCGGCTCGTCGGGGCGGCCACTCTCCGGACGTGGAATTCGGGGCGCCAGTAACACGGCGCCGCAGGGGCGGCGCGTCCCCGTCCGCGCGTGGTCGTCCCGCGGACTCCGGAGGCATCTCGGCTTAGAGAGCGGTCCAGGCTGCGTCCACACACGTCTCGGGGTGACCGCTACGACCGCGGGGCCCGCCGAAGCTCCAGGGCGACCGGGTGCAGGGTCCCCCAGGTCCGCCCCTCCCCACGGAGAGCCCCCTCGTGGCCCTGCCCTGCCCTCCCTCCCCGCCCTCCCGGAGGCCCGGCGCCGCGCTTACTTTCCGAGCTCCTCGAAGAGCTGGTACTCGTCCGTGAACCGGGTGCAGGTGGTGGTGG